GCCACCTGTCTGCCACGCAGGTCAGATTCCCCCCCCGAGAAATCGAAGTCGCATACTCAATACGCAGGAGCTGATCTTGAACTCGCATACTGGAACGGCCTCCGCCGCGATGGCCCCGCGGCCCCGTTGGATAGGATATGGAGTTTCTTCGTCTGAATCTCTCGCCGCGTCTCCTTGGGAGACTTGTCGCCGCTGGTGTAGAGGAGCTTCGGGCTGCCGCTGGCGCCGGTGACCGCGAAGCCGCGCCACTTGGAGCCGATCTTAAGAGAACGAGTGAGAGCAAGAGCGCGCGCAGGAACCCCGGGACCGCCTTCAATCTGAATGCTGAAGCGGCGGCTGGGCGTGTCCAGTCCGACAGTACGGATGCAGCCGAGTGGAAAGCCAGCGGCCTCGAACTACGACGAGATGGCCTCGCGCAGGGCGCCCGCGGTGAACACTTTGGGCGAGCCGCAGGTGAAGACTGTGGGCTCCGCTGTACGGCTCCACTCGGCGAGCTGTTGGAGTGAGTACACTGGAGCCCTGGCCTCTGCCAAGGCGAACAACTCCTCCATCTTCGCGAGGGTGGCGAGCATTTTGACCTGGTCCGTCTGCATGTTGCTGGAGGAAGCTTGGCAGACCGCGACGTTGCGCTCCAGCTCGGGCTGCTTAGCATGCAACGGCGCCGTCTCCGTCCGCATGGTGGAAACGAGGTTCGACTGCAGCGCGGTCTGCATGGTAGCAACAGAACTCGAGGTGATGGTCGCCACCGAAGACTCTAGCGCCGACTTGGTGGAGGCAAGCTGCGCGGCCACGACCTGCTGGATGGAGGCCTCAAGGCTGCCGTCAACAGGCGCGGCAGAATGCGAAGCGCCAGCAGCAGCCGTACCAGGAGGTGGAGGTTGTGGAGGAGGAGGAGGGGGGATGGAGAAGGAGGAGGAGGAGGAGGAGGATGGGGAGGAAGATGAGGAGGCGGAGGAGGATGAGGAGGAGGATGAGGGGGGGATGGAGGGGGAGAGGGGGAGTCAGTTGGGCTCTAGAACTCCCCAGATGTGTGGCCACCTGGGCGCGCACGTGCCCCGCCCCCCCCATCCCTCTCTGTCACAACCGAGCATGGCTGCCGCGTCCACTCTGGACTTGATCTTGACCCAACTGGCAGGCGGCACGCAGGCCCGAGTGCGCATGTCATCCCATGGTGGCAAGTGTTTGTGACATATTGTCCCCCTTCCCCAGCATGACATGTGCATGCAGGACGGTGTCCTTCTCAATTGGACTCATCTTTTCCGGCAAGGCCTGCACGAAACCGTCTCGGTCTCGGTGGACCACGGGCACTGCAAGAGCAACGGGGAGACGCACAGCAGCGTCTCAGTCACACTGCGGCCGGTCCTTGCTGCAGGGAGGCTCTTGGAATTTGCCACCCAGCCGCCTGCACGCCATGGGCTCTTAGAGAGGCACCGCTGGATGCCATCAGGCTGCCGCGGCTCGCTGGGGGCGACCATGGACGCCGCCGTTGACGTCGCCGCAAAACAGGGTACCGGGAGCTGCTGCTCCGAGAGCCTTTCTCGTGCGCTCAGCAGCCTTTTCCTGCAACAGTTCGACGAGATGCTGCTCATGCTGTCGGCGTGCGTGGGCCCAGTGGCGTGTACAGCTACTCCTGCAGCACCAACAGCAGCAGCACGGTGGCAACGCAGCAGCAACAGCAGCAGCACGGTGGCAGCGCTGGGCATACTCCGCGGCCGAGCGGCCACGGGGAGATGGCGCTTCCTACCATGCCCACCGGCCGCCAGGTAAAGTCTTTCCCCTCACAGCGCCATGGGGAGGCCAATGCCGTCTTGGCTCCCGTCCCGCCCAGACTGCCGCAGCCAAAAGCGCTCTCCATGAGTATGGCCGCCCGCGAGGCCATACTGTAGAGGCAGGAGTGGGAGAGGGCATACCTTGTGAGCCACCCCGCAGACGCTGCCATGACAGGTGCGACGGTCGTGATCCGGGAGCTGGAGCTGGCCGCGCAGCACAGGGGCGAGGCCTGGGCTTAAATGCCCTCCCGCACGGCCCTTCCGATCGCTGCCGATCAAGGGTCAATCCAGACCCATATCAGTCAGGCCTTGCAGAATCCTGCAAGATCCTCCAAGATCCTGCACCCAACCCCGGGTCAATTCGAAAGATCCTGCAGGATCTGGCGCCCAAACCCGGGTCAAAGCGACCCTGGCCCTGCAGGATCCTGCAGGATCTGGCGCTCTGGCTGACCCCCGTTTGTGCTGACCCCCGTCTTTTGAGCCCCGACTCGTGACGTCTCCTTCGGCTCCGGGCACGAGGTGCAGTGGGCGGGCGGGCGCGTCCCCCCTTTGCACGGCGCGGGGGGCGGCCGAGAGCTCGACCGCCGGGAGCAACACACAGACACACAGACACAGACACACACACACAGACACACAGACACACAACGTGGGAGACCCTTGTGGCGCCAGGGGCCGAGGAGGCAGATAGGGGAGGAGGGAAATGGGAAGGGGGTGGGGAGGAGGAGGGGAGGTGAACGGGAGGAGGAGGGAGGAGGAGGAGGGGAGGAGGCAGAGGGGAGGGTCAGGGGGGGTTGGAGGAGATGGAGGGGAAGGGGGCGTGGGGGACGGGGGGGAGGGGGGAAGCGCGAGAGCGGAGGTGGAGAGGGAGAAGTCGGAAGAGGCCGGCGACGGCGGCCACGACCACGAGAAGCACAGGGAGTAGCCAGAGGAGAATGAGCTGGAGAAGGAGATGGGGGAATAGAGCGCTGGATGGGGGGACAGGGGGGGATGATTTGGAGGAGGTGAAGCCGGCAGAGTCTGAAATTAACCGAGAGGATGGAGGAAAAGAGAAAAAGAGAGCACGCCAAAATGCGGAAGGGGGGGAAGAAGGCAGGCGGAGCGGACGAGACAAAGGAACAATAAGAGGAAGGTGATGATGAAGGGAGGACAGCACCGATGAAGAGAAGGTACATCATAATCCGCCGGCCCCCTTGTGGGGCCACCAGGCTGTAGGCGCGGGGTTCGCAGTTTCCTGTGCCAGTTGTAGCTTGTAGTTTCCAGTGTTACAGTTCTGCTTCTTGCTGGTTACTGTAACTAGTTGATTGTTCTCCTTCTTGCTGGTTACTGTAACTAGTTGATTGACCGCGCGAGGGGGGGGGAGGCCCAAACCGGCATTTTAGCGTCCCCTGGGCGCGTTGTCTGAATTGCTGGGGGGGCTCGAAATCGACACCCCTCACGCAGATCCGCGGGGTCAGGGTCCAAAAACACATTGGATTTGCCACATTTCTGAAATTCGGTACCACCCCTCACGCAGATCCGCGGGGTCAGGGTCCAAAAACACAAGGGATTTGCCACATTTCTGAAATTCGGTGCCACCCCTCACGCAGATCCGCGGGGTCAGGGTCCAAAAACACATGGGATTTGCCACATTTCTGAAATTCGGTGCCACCCCTCACGCAGATCCGCGGGGTCAGGGTCCAAAAACACATGGGATTTGCCACATTTCTGAAATTCGGTGCCACCCCTCACGCAGATCCGCGGGGTCAGGGTCCAAAAACACAAGGGATTTGCCACATTTCTGAAATTCGGTGCCACCCCTCACGCAGATCCGCGGGGTCAGGGTCCAAAAACACATGGGATTTGCCACATTTCTGAAATTCGGTGCCACCCCTCACGCAGATCCGCGGGGTCAGGGTCCAAAAACACATGGGATTTGCCACATTTCTGAAATTCGGTGCCACCCCTCACGCAGATCCGCGGGGTCAGGGTCCAAAAACACAAAGGATTTGCCACATTTCTGAAATTCGGTGCCACCCCTCACGCAGATCCGCGGGGTCAGGGTCCAAAAACACATGGGATTTGCCACATTTCTGAAATTCGGTGCCACCCCTCACGCAGATCCGCGGGGTCAGGGTCCAAAAACACATGGGATTTGCCACATTTCTGAAATTCGGTGCCACCCCTCACGCAGATCCGCGTCAGGTCCGCGGGGTCCAAAAACACAGGGGATTTGCCACATTTCTGAAATTCGGTGCCACCCTTCACGCACATCCATCGCAAGGCGTGGTAACCCAAACTGCGAGAACTCCCTCGGCCCTTTAATCGCAAGGTGTGGTAACCAAGCCCGTTAACCATACACGTCTTACCAATCGCCAGGTGTGGTAACCTCTCTTGTGATAAGTTGGTTTTGCTGATTGCGAATCGGCTTCGCATGAAGTTTCGATACTGCTTCACGACAGCGCCAAGGCCTCATGACTTAGCTCTTCCATGGCCCATTCTCCGAGAGAGGGGGCGGGCGGCAGGGGGCGAAACCCTTACGGATATGCATACAGGGCTCCGTGCGTCTTTCGAGACGGTGCTGACAGGAGGACGAGGAACGGGACATACATAGAAAAACATACATCTATGTATGTATGTATGTGCATGTAGATGTAGCGAGAGAGAGAGAGTATATATATATAAACAACAGGCAGATGGGAGAGAGCGACAGACAGGGACATATGCATAGATTGCGCACATGCTTGTGTGTGGAGAGAGAGAGAGAGAGAGAAAGAGAGAGAGAGAGAGACGGAAACAAAACATAGTGGAGAGAGCGGGAGAAAGAGAGAGAGAGAGATAGAGGCGCAAAAAGAGAGAAAGAGACACAGAGCGAGCGAGAGAAAGAGAGAGAGAGAGAGAAAGCCAAACAAACAACACACACACACACACGCAGACACAGACACAGACGCACACAGATAGGCAGAGAGAGAGAGAGAGCGAGAGAAGGACCATTTACGAGGCGGGACTCTCACCGGCGGAGGCGGCAATGCGCGCGCCCCGCTCGTGTTGTGCGGGGCGCGGGCTTGGGGCCAGTCTCCCGCATAGGCCGGGAAAGCCCGCAAAGAGGTCACCCTCGCGTGCGCCTTGGAACTCGGAACTCGGAGCGAAGAGTCCAGTCGAGCAGAGCACGCCAACGTGCACGCAGCTCAAAGCAGACGGGAAAGAGAGAGAGAGAGAGAACAAAACAAAGAGCGATAGAGAGAGAGAGAGAGAAGAGGGAGAGAGAGAGAGAGAGAGAAGAGAGAGAGAGAGAGAAGAGGGAGAGAGAGAGAGAGAGAAACTATGGCTGCCTCTAGGCTGCCTGACTTGACTGCAAATCCAGTTGATTGCCGGGCCACTCTGGAGCGGGAAGGGGCCCTCCGCTCCCCCGCCTCCGCTAGTGAACCTGCACCTCCCCCTTTCTGGTGTGGGAGCCTACTCTGCACCAGGGAAGGTGCTGAGCTAGTCAAACTCCCTTTGGCACCCTGGCTGGAGGGAGGCATACCCTGACCAGGCAGATGATGGATCGCCTGGTCCCCCTCCTTCGCCCGATCCCTCGCTCCTCATGCACCTCTTCCTCCTCCGCCTGATCCTTTTCCCCATCGTCCTCACCCTCATCCTCCCACCACTCTGTCTGTCCCTCGTCTCATCACTCTCCGCCTGCCTCCCCTCGTCTCCCTTCGCATCCTCGTCCTCCCAGTAGGTCTATCCTCACCCTTTGTGATCCTCTCATTCCGCACATTATCCGAATACCCCTCCTCCTCACCACCATCACCGTAGTCGTCATCATTCCCATCCCACTCGTACTCCCATCAAACTGGTGATTCCTGTCATATTCTGCAAGAACCATAATTGGGAAGCGTGCTCCAAGTGGGGGAAACTGCCGGCCCCATGCCCGTCCAAGGAAGACTACATTGGGAGGTAGGCCTACGTACGCACCCACAACAGGCAGACCCTGTAATCCAGTGTTTGCGTCCAGGTTTCCTGGGGATTTGGCGCTTGGTTTTCGTCAAGCCTATGGGTTCAAGGCCCACGGCTCGCAAGCAGGACAGGCTTGGCACGGGGTGATGTCAAGCAGCGTTTGCTCGCATGCGAGACACATTGTGAAGCTGGCGCATCTTGCTTTGTGTCGGGCGCGTCCCCCTACAAGGGGATTTCCGACGAACAATTGGAAATACACCACAAATACTCCAAAATGGACAAAACATACTAAACAATAGTCCCCATACTTTTCATGATTTTTGAATATTCCCCCTGTAGAGAGACAGGCCCGACTTGAATCTTGCTGCGAGTGACCACGTGGAAGAATGTGAACGCTAGTGCAGGAAAGATGTGCTAGATGGGGCTGCTGCTCTGCTCTCGCTCGCCCGTGCTCGATAATCCATCCCGCTCGCAAGTTTCTGGTTCAGTATGTCCAGTTGGGCGGGAGGGCGGGCGCGCTTAATCACGACTGTCCTCTCAAGACGGGATAGCATAAAATACAGAATTCTTACATCGAGGGGGTGGGACAAATTCACAAGATCACATCCGATCCTCTCCATTCTCCCCTTTTTCCCCCCTCCTCCTACTCCTCCTCCTCCTTCTCCTCCTCCTCCTCCTCCTCCTCCTCCTCCTCCTCCTCCGCACCCCCCCGCTTTCGATGTCCCCCCCTCAGCCAGACGAGCGGCAATCACGAGATGCAGGACCCTTCCGCGACAGCAGGAGCGTGAAACCGCGGCTGTGCCCAGCTGCGCCTCTTGGCCGGGCCAGCCCCGCCGCTGCATGCCAGGCTCCGCCGGAGCCTGACCTCTCGGGTCGGGGCGCGTCGGCCGGCCACCGCGCCGCGCAGGCCCTGCTCCCAACCTCGGTGAATGGTCTACGGCAGACTCGCGCAGTGGCGGCCCAGGCGTCGGTCTCTGGAGCCAGGTGGATCGTTCAACCTTGAGCGATCGACGGCTATTCGATCGCTGGATCGTCCCGTATCGTTCCACATTGGTCCATTCTGGGCCACTGGCGGCGTTCAATCTTGAAGGCCCGCGGCGGGGCCGCCGCCGCGTTGACACGACACGGACCTACCGCATACCACTCCCGAGGCCAGGATGAGCATGCCTAGGATTGGTGTATGTGCCTCCCACGCCAAGCCAGGAGGGCACACACACGGAGCTGGGCGAATTGAAACAACGGCATCGCAAGATCGATCTCTAGACCCCTCCAGGTGTCCACAAGCACCAATTTTCCGAGCTGCGTCCAACCGTGTCCCCCCGATCATTAACTACTCTTGTCTCAACTGAGCCTCCTCTGATACACGCCGACGCCAAGCCCAGGATGGGCCTGGCCGGTATCGGCGCCGTGGCCCAGAGGAAAAACGAACTGCATATACATAAACTATTCCTCTCGCGCGCAAGCGAACTGTCTCCGATCGGCGGCGTGGCCCGCGCGCGCGCGGGGAGGCCCAAAGAGGGGCGGTCCTCCCAGCGATGAGGCCCGCGGCGTCGCAGTCATGCGAGCATTGCCTAGTCGTCGATCGGTCCGACGATGCAGCCATACCCATGCTCAAAGGCCTTGAATGACAAAGTCTCGACGGGCGGGCCGCGAGACGGATGGACCACGCAGCAGGTCCGACGTCGAGGAAGGAAGCAACAAGGCTGTCGCTGGCAGCGGCAAGATAAATTACTGAAGCCCGAATGGGGTCGGGAAGCGCAGCTAGCAGTGTTGATGTGGCAGCGGCTTGGAGGCATTGCTCAGCACTGGACGCCTGTCACCGTTTACCCCACCAGAACACGCGTCACGCGTCTGGTGGCAGCATCGAAGTCGGCTGCGTCGGGTTTTCGTAGACAAGAGGACGTCATGTTCAGACCCGAAGCAGCCTTGGCAAGTGGGACGCCTAGTGCCGAGAGCAGATGGTTCCACCGAGTACGGAAGCCGCTATGACTTCAAGGTGTGAGCGGATGTGTGGGACCCCGGCTTCCGAACACCATCTCTAGAATCATGGATGTGGACCGGCCCGAGCAGAAATAATGTTGGGTTGGGCAAAGCCGCCGAGTCTTGGGAGCAATAATTCATAGATTGGTGTCGCTCGACGACTCGAGGCGGCCGCTAGGCAGCAACAGGTCACAGCGTCTCGCCGTCAGTAGCTCACACGGCCTTAAGAACTTTGTATATCCCATAAGCAGCAGAGTTGCCATCAAAGGCCAAGCCCGTATCATGGAGTCAGACGCCGAATATGACACGGGACCGTGCGAGGATCACTCCGCTGAGGTACAAGATGGCGGGCGATACGCCAATGTGCTCGACCAGCTAGAGCTCGAAGGCATCGATCGAATGAGGCCGTCGATCAAGGTGGGCCGAAGAGAGGTGAGCCTCGCGTACGAGCGGGGCGCGTGGGCCGCGGGGCGGAGCCGGGCTACGTCCCAGACTGGACGGCCCCACCGACGCTCCAATCTCCGAAGGGGAAGCGCCTCCCGACTCGAAGACGGCCACATTGACGGGCGAGCGCGGAGGGCCGACCGAGGCGGTAGCAGCCTCGGTGATCCCTCGAGGCCGGAGGTGAACCTCCAGCCTGCCCGGGTGCGGGGCATCGACGACGTGGCCTTGGCGTTGGCCAGGCCGCGCGGGGGGTCCAGTCGCCCCGCAGCTCCCCCAGCATGGGCTGATCTGAAGGGGCCCTGGGACACACAAATAAATACAACACAAATAAACATATCCCCACATTTTCTCATATTTTCGGGGTTTCTGTCTTCCCCCCCACTGCCCATATTTTCCTATATTTTCATTGGAAATCGACGGTTCCTTGTGCCTGTGTGCTTTTGGCCCTCAAGAAGATCGCAAGTGGCGCGGCGGGCCGAGCGGGCCGGGGCCGAGAGCGCCAGGCAGCTCGGGCGGATGCCCCGTCGCGGGTGCATCGGCGGGGGGCGCATCCGCAGCGGCGCGAAGGGAAGGCCGCGGGCGCGCGCGGCGCGCAGGGGAGCGCCCACCAGCCCCTGCCTCGGCGGCACGAGCCCCTCCCCGCGGGGTCGCGGCAGGCCTGCTGGCGGGCTTAGCTGCCCCGATGCGCAACACGCAACACGTACCGTATCGATACGGAACTCAGCACGTCGGCTGAAAACGTAGGTCCGACGCGATACATTCGCCACTACGTGGTCCAATACGTGGAGCCAACACGCAACGTATTGACACGGACGTCTTGAACACGGGACGTGTTGCGTTTCAAAGCGCGCGAATCGAGGCAACTAAGCTGGCGGGGCCTAGCGGGCGAAGAGCGGTAGAACATAGACTGCTTCGTCGTCGGGGGCGCCTGTCCCAGGGCGGCTGGGAAGTTTGTGCCCTTGCGGCGGCACGTCCAGGCATAAACTTTCCAGCCGCCCTGGGGCGGCGCCCCCAGCGACGGGAAAGTTCATTTTGTTCCGCTCCTCGCCCGCTGACGCGTGCCCGCCGAAGAGAGCGGCGACGCGTCCACGCTGGGGCGAAGGCTCCCGCGGGAGGCGTTGGCTCCCCTCGCGGTGGGCCTGAGGCGCCCGGCGGGGGCCGAAGACGCCCGAGACCGCGAGGGCGGCCGGGAAAGGTGCACTCTCGCCGCTGCCGGTGTCTGCAGGAAGCGGCTTCGGGCTGGCGGGGGGGGGGGGGAGCTCGGCCCCCAAGCGGCCACCAGAATACGGAGGAAGCGTTGGGACCCCTGCCTGCGGCAGTGACCCAAAGGCAGCTCGTGGCCCAAGGGGCAGTACTTGAGCAGGGACCGACCGTCCCGGCATTCCTATAGTCCTACCACGAAATGTTCTTAGAACCCAACAAGGTTCTAATAACAAAAACAATGTTCTTAGAACATGAGCCCGATGTAATAAAACAAAGCAGACTCCGCCAGGAATGTTCTAAGAACATTTCGTGGAAACCACAGAAGGTTCTTAGAACATTGTTTGGTAGGGCTATATGCGAGCCGGGACGCTTCGCCAATGCTTGAAGTACACCGCCGCGTAGCTGTGGAGGTGGCCTGCGCGGAGGTGGCCACCGCTGGCCCCCCCCCTCCCAGGCGCCCCGGCCGTGCGCGCGCGGCGGGGGGAATCGATGGGCAAGCGGGGCAAGCGTAGGGTCACGTCGGGCGTGACGTATCCCCCTACAGGGGGATTTTGGACGAACAATTAAAGATACCCCAAAAAAACCCAAAGATGCCCCAAAATACTTCAAAAATAGTCCCTAGACCATTTTTTTATCATTTTTGAATATTCCCCCTATGTAGAGGGACAGGCCCGACTTAAGCCTAGGGCCGAGCTGCAGAGAAAGTCGAAGCACGGGCCACAGAGAATGTCCGAGACGCTCTCGCGGAGGTTCGCCACCGTATCGTCGATCGGCGCTGGACCACCCTCGCTGCTCCCCGGCGCGCGGAGCGCGCTGGGCGCGCCGGGAACGGCGCCAGAGGCGCCGCCATGGGGCTCCAGCGCCGAAGTCGCGCGGCGTTCCGAGAATTCGCGTTTATGCCATGTTTTTCTTTTTCGATGGTCGGCCGGCGCTCCAGGGCCCGCTCGGACCTCCGCGAGCGCCGCGCGCTCTTGTTCGGCGCACGGCCGCGGCAATCGCTCGGGGCATGCCGCAGGAGCCGGCGCTGGCGGGCCCGCGCGAGTCGGAGGGACAGCGAACCAGGCAGCGCCTGGCGCGCCCGCGTGCTTCCACGGCGGTCGCGCGCGCCTGGGGCGCCCTGTGCGGCCCTGCGCCTGGAGCGCCCGCGCGGGCGAGGTCGTAGGAAAAAGTCGTCCGTAGAGGAAGGCGCACCCAGAAGATTTCAAGGAGGGTTGGGGGACGAGGGGGGAGGCTTATGGACGAGGGGGGGGCACGAGAACGGAGGAGGGGGATTGGGATGGAACCTGATGAGGAGTACCCGAATATATATATATATATATATATATATGTGTATATATAGATATAAATACATATGTATGTATGTATATATATGTATATATATATGTGCACACATATATATATACACACCTATACGACCACCCTGCGGGTGATAAGGAGGTGAGGGGGGAGGGGGAACCAACGTCTCACTCAATCGATCTCGCTATCGATCTCACAATCGATCTCGCATTCGATCTCACTATCGATATCACTATCGGTCTCGCTATCGATCTCACAATCGATCTCACAATCGATCTCACATTCGATCTGACATTCGGTCTCACTGTCGATCTCACTATCGATCTCACAATCGATCTCACAATCGATCTCACAGTCGATCTCACATTCGGTCTCACATTCGGTCTCATTATCGATCTCACTATCGATCTCACAATCGATCTCACAATCGATCTCACATTCGGTTTCACATTCGGTCTATCTATTGATCTCACAATCGATCTCATTATCCATTTCACTCGGCAATTTTCACTCGGCACCATCATCATCATAATCATCATTACCATCATCATCTCACAATCGATCTGACTATCGATCTCACAGTCGATCTCACTATCGATCTCACAATCGATCTCACATTCGGTCCCACTATCGATGTCACAATCGATCTCACAATCGACGTCATCATCATCATCATCAACAACACCAACATCATCATCAACATCGCCATCATCACCATCATCATCATCACCATTATCATCATCACCATTATCATCCACATCATCATCGGGACACCGACGGGACACCGACGGGACACCAGCGGGACACCGGCGGGACACCGCGCGCCACCGGCCGCCCGGAAGAGACACATTTGGTCCGGCCGCGCCTCAGCCACAGGGACACCGAAGGGACACCAGCGGGACACCGGCGGGACACCGCGCGCCACCGGCCGCCCGGAAGAGACACATTTGGTCCGGCCGCGCGTCAGCCACAGGGACACCGACGGGACACCAGCGGGACACCGGCGGGACACCGCGCGCCACCGGCCGCCCGGAAGAGACACTTTTGGTCCGGCCGCGCCTCAGCCACAGGAGACTTTCCTCTCGCCCGCCCACGCAGCTTCGCCTCGCCCGCGCGCACGGCACGCACGAACACGAAACCGAAATCGATTTCCCGGTAGGGGGGCTCTCCGTTCCACTTCGATCTCACCCCTCACCTCCGATATATATATATATATACACACATATATACATACATAGGGATATGTATATATATATGTATAACATTATGTGTATACGTGTATGCGTGCACAATCACACATACATACGTGTATGCATGCATGTATACATACATACATACGTACATACAAGCAGACATACATACATACATACATACATACATACATACACACATACATACATACATACATACATGTCTACATTCCTACGAACCTACACACCGACCTACCTGTCTACCTACTTACCTACCTACCTGCATACATACATGCAGTCATATAATGTGTGTGGGATCCAGCGTAGACACCAAACAGTGTCGCTCTAGCAGTATATGTTGTGCACTCTGTGTTAGTGCGGTACACGTGGTGCATTATGCGTGGTTCAACATATGTGATACAATCTATGGTGTGCAGAAGAAGTTGTGCAATGTCGGCGCTGCAACCTACATCGTGCAGTCAACGTTGCGCAACATGTGTTGTGATGGCTATGTGGAACAGGATTGTTTATGCAACATATGTGGAGCAGCCTATGTGGTGTAACCTATGTGGTACCATATAGGTTGCAGCAGTGCACATCTATATATATATATATAGATACTATGTGTGCACATGCATAGCTATGGTGCAATCTATGTGGTGCAATCGATGCTGTGCAATTTATGTTATATGCGCTCTGCAACCTGTGGCGCAACATAGGTGGTGAAAGTGATGTGGCGCAATCGATTTGGAGTGAAGCATGTGCTGTGCAATCTAAGTTGTACAATACAGGTGGTGCAGTCTGCGTTGTGCAATGTACGTTGTGCAATAGATGTGGTGCAGTCTGCGTTGTGCAAAGTTGTGCAATACGTACGTGTATACATATAATGCAATCGATGTTGCGCAATCTACGTGGTGCAACCTAGCGGCAGCCACGAGCGGCGACGGCGGCGACGGGGACGGGGCGGCGAGGGCGACAACATAGCCACCAGACCGACAGACAAGTCCAGTTACGGGCGGCGACGAAGCGGCGACGGGCCTGCGGCGGCGACAACATAGCCGCCAGACAGACAGGACCAGTTACCGGCGGCGACGGCGACGACATAGCCACCAGAAGGACTGACAGAAATAGTTCCTTAGAGAAGTCCGAGGCTCCGCGGCTCAGGCTTGCTGTTCCCTGCTACAGTTCCTGTTTCGTCTCCGATGTTACAATTCTGTGTTCTGCTTCCTACTGTGAATGGTTAGGGAGTCCGCGCGTGACCTTCACCTGGGGGGGTTCTCAAATATTTCTGGGGGGTCCTGGGACACAAAAAAAATACACGAGATTCGCGCCCCCGAATGCATAATTCCATGTAAATTACGCCATAGTCGCGCCCCAGGGGCCAGAATCTCTTGTCAATTGCACAAAATTCGCGTCCCCGAGGCCATACACCATACCAAAGTACGCTGTGTCCGCGCTTCCGAGATCATACTTAATCGTGAAGTACGCGATGCTCGCGTCTCCGAGGCAAACTCTCTCTCTCTCTCTCTCTCCTTTTCTATCTCTCTCTCTCGCGTAAATTACGCAATCGTTGCGTCCCCCAAGCCACGATCCCTTGTAAATTATGCGTTCTTCGCGTGCCCGAAGTCATAAGCCCTCGCAAAATTCGCAGTCTTTGCGCTTTCGAAGCGACAATTCATGAAAGGCCTCCAAGACGCTACCAGAGGCCTCCGAGACGGCCCAAGAGTGCTCCAAGGCGCCCAAGATGGCCCCAAGACGGCCCACAGGCTGCCAAGAGGCCCCCAAGAGCGCTGCAAGAGCACCCCCAAGAGGGGCCCAAGAGGCCAACCTCTGCGATTGTGCTTAGGTTTTTGATGGATTTTGGCAGGCTCGCCTTTTCGGGCTTCCGACGCTCCAAGACGGTCCAAGAGGCTCCCCAAGACCGCCCCAAGAGGCCCTGAAGAGCGCCCCAAGACGGCTCAAGCGGGTCCCAAGACGGCCCAAGAGACCCCCAAGCCCGCCCAAGAGGGCCCCAAGAGACGCAGAACTCCCTCTTGCCGGCGCCCCGTCGGCGGGACGGGGGGAAGGGAAAGAAGGAGGCGGGAGGAAAGAGGAGGAGGAGGAGGAGAAGGAGGAGAAGAGGGCCCCCAGACGCGGGACCCGAGCCCAAGTGGCCCCCCGCTCTGAGTTCCGACGCCGCTTCACGACGGCGCCCGGGCCTCACCGGACATAGCTCTCTTGTACGCCCCATCTTCTCCGAGAGAGGAGGGGGGACCGGCCAGCGGCAGACGGCGAAGCCCTTGCGGTGATGAGGGCCCCAAAAAGCAAAAGCATCGTTTGGGGGGCATCTAGAGACAGGGAGAGAGAGAGACTGGGGGCGAGACAAAGGGATAGAGAGCGGGAGAGGGATGTCCACGCGTACTGTCGTACACATACACATACACATACATACACATTTACGTATACATGTATATATACACACAGCTACATCTACATACACACAACCATATACATATACAGGTACAAGTGCGCATACACGTTTACATATATACACGTATATGCAACCATCTACTTATACATACACATATACATGTTTGTGTACGACATATATATATATATATATAGATCCGTATATGGACACGCGTGTGTATTTCAGAATTGGGATGTATATCGCACATATGTGATGATAATTATAAAGACATAGAGAAGCACAAATGGTATGTAGATATAATAGAGGGAGAGAAGGTACAGAGAGAGAGAGACACAGTATGTGGAGAAGGTCGATGGAGAGGAGGCGCAGAAAACGATATATATATATATATATATATATGTGTGTGTAATGCTATCACGTTAATCTAGCAGAAAAAAGGGTGCGTGTGTGTGACGGAGAGAGGGAGAGAAACAGACGGGACGATATAGACAGGAATACCATCTACATAGATGAGTACATGTCTGTACATGCAAGCTCGTTGGCTCCGTTCTGGGCGCAATATTGCGAATGCTCCTGCTTGTTGTTTGCGAGTGCATGTAGTTCTGTCTCTCTTGTCTCACCATTCCTGCCTCCATGTCGCTGTCTACTGAGGGGCCCACGACGCCAAACCTGCAGGCCTAAGATTCCTACCCTCTCAGAAATCGTGGGGGTTCGCATGTGGTCCCCTGCCCGCGCAACCCCACGAGGGCCCGAACCACTGATGCAACGCAACCGCAGGGTGGCTCCGCCCGGGGGGGGGGGACCGCGGCAGAGGGCACAGCCTCTCCTCTGGGCCGCTCCCGCCCGGGCTGTGGGCCGTACGCGACCCTCCTCTGCCTGCGTGCTTGGCAACACTTGCCACGTGAGGTCGTCTTTCACCTTTTTTCTATTGGAACTCACTGGCGCTGGGTTATTCTTAGGTCGGGCATGTCCTCCTACAGGCGGATTTCGGGACGAAAGATGGAAAACTGTCAAACAATGCACCCCTAAATGCTCAAACAATGATAGAAAAATCGTCCCACGACTACTTTTTGACTATGTTTGAGTATTCCTCCTATAGAGGGACACGCTCGACTTAGGGTTATTCATTGAACCAACACTGGTCCCTGACGTCCCTCGCGTGGGACCTCGTTCTGCCCGCGGATCCTCGCCGATCCCCATCCGGGTATGAGGAGAGGGGGAGGGACGAAGGGGACCCAGGGACACATGAGTAAACACACACACACACAGATCCCAGAATTCCTGATATGAGAAGAAAGAAAAAAAAAAAAAAAAAAACGCCGCCATAAACACAAACTTTTGGCGCTCCGCGCAGACTTCTTGGATCTGCGCCGGACCCCCCTCCCTGGCGCGCGGAGCGCGCCAGGGGTGGCGCCGGAGGCGCCTCCAGGGGGGCCCAGCGCGGATCCAAGAAATCCGCGCGAAGCGCCAAAATTTTATGTTTATGCGTTTTCCTTCTTCGACGCATGTTTTTCCAAGGTTTTTGGGTTATCGTCTTCCCCTCCCCCATGTCCCACGTGTTTCCACATTTTCCAGGGGATCGACGACTCATCGTGTCTGTGTTCCCTTTCCCCCTCCCGAATGGAGGAGGAGGAAGCCGACGATCCGGCGGGGGGCGCGGCCGCCCTCGACGGGCAACTGGCGGGGCGTGGCGCGCTCCAGCGGCGAAGGGCGGTGCGCGCTGGTGCGGCGGCAGCACTGTGGAGCAGGAGGCTCCTCCGGACTCCAGCCGTGGAGGACAGACTCTGCAGGGACCGACCGTCCCGGCTTTCCCGTAGGCCTACCACGACATGTTCTGGGAGCCTAAACATCTCTTACGAGCAGGAACAGTGTTCTTAGAGCATGAGCCCGATGTGATAAAGCAAGGCAGTCCCAGCCAGAAATGTTTTTAGAACATCTCATGGAAACCACGACAGCTTGCTCGAGCATTGCTTGGTAGGCCTATAGGCACGCCAGGACGCTTCGCCACCGCTTGACCAGAGGGACTCGTCCTGTCTTGCCGGCCGAACGGGGGGATAGCAAAGGGGGCGGGGGGCTAGCGAATCAGCTCACGTGGCTCATTTCCCCGGCGCCTGCTGGCGCCGGGCTCGCTGGAGGCGCCAATGTATCGAGGAAAGCGCCCCGCGTCGGGGCCGAAACCAACTGCACGCAGCAGATTTCGCAATTTTCCCACATTCCCCCGTGTCGTTCGACCTGGGCGCAGGAGAGGGGTTGGGCAAAAGGGGGACTATCGAATCGGCTGCACGCATTTGGATTCCCGAGCGCCTCGAAGCTCCGGGCGCGACCGTGCATCGAGGAACGCACCAGGCGGCGGGGCGTGAACCTGCTGGAGGTCACCTCTCTCCTTCCCCCCCCCATTTCGGATCCCGCGATCCTCGCCCTGCCTGCCGGCAGCTCAGCGCGCCAAAGACAGCGCCGACTGATGGGTCGTCATCGGGGTGAACTCGGATGGGCTCCGCATGCCTGGGGGCGGCCAGACGCGCCGGGACGGCGAGGAGCTCGCGATCAGACGCTCGGGGTCCCTTGCTCTCACTCCGTTTCCTCTCATCCTTCCCTTCGTCCCTCTTGTTCCCCTTGCCCTTCGTCCTCTTTTTCCTTCTGCTGCCCTCTCGCTCTCTCATTCCCTCCCTCTTACTGCATCACTTCATCTCCTTCCGACCTCTTCCGCCACCCACCCTTTGTCCGTCCTCGTCTCCCCATCCAACCCCTTCCACACTTTGTCCATCCTCCGCCCCCCTGTCCTCTTACCCTCCTGAACCTCATCCCACTCTCTTCCTTCCTCCTCCCGCCACCCCATGGACCCCCTACCTCGCAAAAGTGGAGGCTATAATGGAGGAGGCCCCTAAGAAGTTGTCTTCGGGCCCAAACTGACCCACCAACGATTAATCAGGAAGGACAGGACGTGGCGGCGGCAGCAAGGGGCCACTCTCGCCAGAATGGAAAACGCAAGGACCTCTCCCCCTGCTCATATGACCCCCCACAGGCGTCCTCCTGAACTACGTCGGGAACGCCCATATGCAAGCAGGCGACAGGTTCCCAGAACGTTGGCCTTGGGGCCGCTTGGGAGGTCTCCGCCGAACGCGGCGGAGGTTTGTGCTTTCCGCGGCGGTGGCTTTCCCCCCGACGCCTCTCGCCGCTGTGCGTCTTGAGGCAGCGGTGCGTCTGGAGCTGCTCCTGTTGCGACGCTTCTCGCAGCTGCGCGTCTTGAGACAGCTGCTGCTGCTGCTGCTGCTGCTGCTGCTGCTGCTGCTGCTGCTGCTGCTCCAGCTGCGACGCAGGGCCGGGCGCCATGAGGCATCGGCGCCCTGTCAGGTTCCCAAGGAGCCTTCCAGGAGCCTGGGAGTTCCGATGGCAGGGTGGGTGGCGGAGGAAGAAAAAGTCGGAGGGGTGGGCGGGCGTTCGCGGGCAAGTGCCGGCGCGCTGCCGGCTGGCAGCCTGCGCTGTCGAAGCCTCTTGCCCCGCCACGGGCCGTCCCGACCCACGCCGTCCACCCGCCACCCCGGCCCCTCACCGAGGGAGCGCGCCCGCGCCGCGGGCGCGCGGCGGAAAAGAGGGGAGGGTGCGAGGGGAAAGGGGCGAGGGGAGAGAGGCGCGTGGGGCCGAGCGAACAGATACCTCGAAACATGTATTTTTCGAGTTTTCAAGCTGATGCTGAAGAAAGCTTTCTCCGTGTTCCGAGCAGCGCTACGCGTGCAACGAGCTCTACGAGGGTCCCGGCGGTAACCTGGTTGACGGTTTACCGCCGGCTCCCAGTTGTGGTTGCCCTCGTCCAGGGTCTTGCTGCACTCCCTGCCCCCACCGCGGTCGAACCCCCCGCCGCCGCCTCCCTGCGCCAGGCGCGCGCGCCCTCTCTCAGGCAGGCGGCCGCGCGCGGCCCGAGGACTCCACGGTCCCCGGGGTTCGGCGGTTCGCCCCGCCGGCCTCCATCCCGTCTCGGTGTTTCTTGTGCGTTGGTCTCAGGGGGTTTGCCCTCCCCAGACCCTCTCCCCCTCTTCCTCCTCCTCCTCCTCCTCCTCCTCCTCCTCCTCCTCCTCCTCCTCCTCCCTCCTCCCTCCTCCCTCCTCCCTCCTCCCTCCTCCCTCCTCCCTCCTCTCTCAGGCCTCGTCTCGGTGCTTCTTGTGCCTTGGTCTCGGGTGAAGCACCAGCCCCTCTGGTCGACGCGGCCTCAGCATCGCGCGTTGTCGGCGAGGGGGGGAGACGCTGGAGCCGTTCTGGCCAGAGGTTGCAGCGAGGGACGGGCTTGGCTGAACACTCGGCAGTGGTGGTCGCGCTTGCTGGCTCCAGCTGATCGATTCGTCAGCGGTTGTGTTCGCGCGGATGAGACAAGCCAACGGCGGGCGCGGCTCGGTGCTCCAGGCTCCGTGGAGGATGGACGACGAGGGGATGGTTGTAATGATGGAAGACGAGAGGGGGGGAGGTGATGCCACGCCCATCGTAGGAGCACGAAGACGGGGGCGGCAAAAGCGAAGCTGAGACGCGTGCGTTGCCTTTCGGAGGCGCACCGGGAGAGGGTGGGCGACTGTCTTCGCGTGCGGCGCGGGGAACGAACGTTGTCTTCGCGCCCCTTTGTCTGTGGCTAGTTGGCTAGCTTGTAAAAAGGTGGCTGGGCAGCGGGGGGGTCGCTCAAGAATCCGAAACATCCGGCCGTTGTTTATGTAAGTGGCGGCTCGCTACCAGTGTAAACACGAAATCATGGCAGGCCATGCTAGCTGCTCGGCATCTGTGCCCTCGAAGAAGGCTTTGCTGGTGGCCATGTCGGCGAGAATCTGCTCGATGCCCAAGCTTGTTGCCTCTTTCCCACAGCTGGTGGAACACGCGGTCGTCGGCGGATATACTGAAGCGTTCGAACCCGTGAGCCTCGCGAAGGAATTCCTGGTATAGGATCTTCTGCGTGCGCTCGGCAAACTCGCGGTTGTCCTTCTTGACGCACGCGGTGGCTTCGGCCAGGCTGTCTGGGAATCGTCCCGTGGCAAGGCCCACTTCGCCGAACGTCCCCTCGGACCCGTTCAGGGCGGGCCTGTTCACCAGGCGAACGAGTCGGACTCGTTGCCCAGGGCGAAGGTGGCCTGTCCCTGAGGGTCTGGGGTCCGCCCGGCTGCTGGCGTTGTCCTGTCTCCCGCTGGGCGTTGCGTTGGTTTTTAGAGGGTCATGGTCTTCCCTAGGAACTCTCGCCTGCACCAGCTCGGGAGCGGCCAAGAGGGGGGTGTCCCAGAGGGGAGGGGGGCAAATCATGACCGGCGGCATGTGCGCGGCCCAGCGGGGGGGCCAGGGACGTAATGAAATGAGAAGAGGCGCCATGAACGCTGGGGAAAAATCATGGCCCCCGCCACGATATCCCCCCCCCCCTAAGTCATCACCCCCCCCTCTGCCGCCCCCGACCCCTGGCCGTTTCCCCGGGCATGCCCTCCGCGGACTTCCTCGCGGGGCACGCGGCCCTTCGGGGCGTGGCGCCCCCGTGCTCCTCGCCTGCTCCCTCGCGGCCCTCCCCGTGCTCGGTGCCCCTCTCGATGCCCTCCCGGGGCTCGGCGCCCGGAGGTCCGACGCGGGGCTCGGCAGTCAGCTGGGCGAGTCACTCGAGACGTCGACGCTCGCGGTGTCAGAGGAGACGGTGGTGCCGCACACGCACAGATTCTCGTCGTGCGTTGCACCCTCCGGGACGGGGGCGGCGGTGGTGGCGTCCTGGACGTCTTGACTGACGGGGGCCTGGATGACGATGTGTTTGTGAATCTTGGCTGGGTTCCTCGGGGGCATCCCCGCACGCCTTCAGGCGCCGGCGCCGTACAATCAACCCGTGAAGAAAGGATGCGCGGTGAGGATGCAAGGGCCGTGGAAGGCGATGTTGACTTTTTTTCGAACGAGGTTGGCCAGCGAAAGTCGCGAAGGGTGGGCGGAAGGGGCAAGGATGCAAGGGCACCCTTGGGAAATTGCCCATCCTTACTATGCGGGTTGACTGTACCCAGCGCCGCGATGGAGAGGGGCCGTAAAAGTATGTATTTTTCTGTGCCCGCTGTGCACTGGGGCTCCAGGTATTGGCGTTGGCGCAGGGCCGCCGCACGGGCGGGCAGCTCCCCATTCGGCTCGTTGCCGCACTGCGGGTTCCGCGCAGGCGGCCAAGGGCGGCAGTGGCGCGAATCCGGCGGGTGCCGCGCCTGGGCGTTGCCGCGGACGGAAGGGCAGACACGCCCCAATCGCTCGCCGGGCAACACCTGTCTCCGTCTCCTCCTCCTCCTTCTCTTCGTCCTTCTCTTCCTCCTGTTCCCCCTTCATCAATATGCTCCATGAGAGGTCGATCTACCTAGGGCCCCTAAGACGCCCGAACAGCTTCTAGAGCACTCCTCCTCTTCCTCCTGCTCCTATCCCTCCTGGGGTGTGGGGGGCAAGGGGGGAGGAGGAACATGACGAAGAGAGGGTAGGGGAGGACGAGGAGAAGCGTGAGTAGAAGAAGAAGGAGGAGGAGAGGGATAAGAGGAGGAGGAGGAGGAAAAGGAGGCGGAGAGAAAGAGGGGTAGGAGGAGGTGGGCGAGGAGGAGGAGGAGGAGAATGAGGAAGACCAGTGTAAACCTAAGACTCATCAGCGATGTTGGAAGAAGCCCTCCGTCCAAGCTCCCTCTTCGTATGCCCCGACAGGGATTCAGTTTCACTGAGGGAAGTGCCCCGTTAAGAGACAACTGCTTGAAGATCCTGGGACGTGCTAAAACACCGATCTCGGAACTCCAACGCCAAATATCAACCTGACGATTGCGTCTTGGTGATCCTGAATCGCGCCAGAACATCGTTCGTGGGACGTCAACATCGCGAATCCGCGTAACTATTGCGCCCTGACAATCCTGAGTCGTTCCAACGCACCATTTCTGACACGTTGACCTCGGACATTCGTGAGACTCTAGCAACAAATGTACAACCATGTGCAAGACATTAGAATGAGAACAACACTTTGAAAACGAACCGCATTCAATCCGTGAAACACCTGCGCCGCGCTAAGGCGAAAACCATTATGAAAAGACACCGCCCTCAGTGTGTGAAGCCCTTGTTATTTTTGATACGGATGCACGTGGCGCTAAATCGGGATCCACAAAATGAAAAGGAACCGCCCTCAATCCGTGTCACGCTTACAGATATGTCAAAAGAACGCCCGTGGCACTAAAGCGAACAACACATTTTGAAAAAGAACCACCCACGCTCCGTGAACCCCCTGCACATTTGTTACGACGAATGCGCGCGGCGCTAGGGGGAGAACAACAAATTGGAAAAAGCCCGCACTCAATCCGTGAAACCCCTTCAAATTGGAAAAAGCCCGCTTACAATGTTGACAACAATGCGCGCGGCTTTAAAGCGAGAGCTACATGTTGAAAAATAACCGCCTCCCATCCGTGAAACCCTTGCAACTCTTAATGACAAATGCGCACGGCACTAAGGCGACAACCACATTTTTTAAACCGCCCACCCTCCATCTGTGAACATGTTGCCAATGTTTCAGTTCAAGATCATACAGTACACGGTCATGAGTCTAAGGCAGAACGGCCCGCACGCCCTTCCGACTGGCCTCGGGGTGCGACAAGGAGGAATGATTGTAAAAGAAAACAAATGGATGGGGAGGCGGAGGAGGAAGAGGAGGAGGAGGAGAAGGATCAGGATGAGGAGATGGAGGAGGAGATGGAGGAGGAGGAGGAGGACGAGGAGGAGCTGGAGGAAGAGGAGGAGGAGGAGGAGATGGAGGAGGAGGAGGAGGAGGAGGAGGAGGAGGAGGAGGAGGAGGAGGAGACGGAGGAGGAGGAGGAGACGGACGAGGAGGAGGAGACGGACGAGGAGGGAGGAGGGGGCCAATCTCGGCGTATACCCCAATGTCTTTTGCTTTGGCCGCCCCGAGGTCGCCGCTCATGCCGAGCCGCGAGACCCCAGGCGTGGTGGCGTCGTCGCCCTCGGGGCCGGCCGCGGATGTGCGCGCAGGGCGGCTGTCGCCGGCGGAAGGGAGGCGAGGGCGGATGGGGAGGAGGAGAGGAGGAGGAGGAGGAGGAGGAGGAGGAGGACGAGGAGGAGGAGGAGGAAAAGGAGGAAGAGGGGGAGGGGGAGGAGGGTGGGGTTCCGCACAGAATTAGAAATTTCACGCGCGCAACAATTCCAACTGCGAACCGCCAAAGAGCCTGCGTCGTGAAAAATGACGGCATGTTTGTGCCCGCTTTGGGCATCTGGGGGCCCTCGCCGGGCCACAGAACCGTCAAACAAGGACTCGGGGTGAACGAACTGGCCCTGGGGAAAGGGCGGGGACGTCCGGGCAACCCGTCGTGGAAGAAACCAGGCGTCGGATGTCTGGGGTGTCTGTGGGCGAGGGCGAGGGGGGCGGAAGTAAGGCTGGGGTTGGAGCTGGCTGAGATCGGGGAGACGTAAGACTCGGGTTCGGGGGACTCGGGTTGGCCTGACGTGACCATCATGAAAATGACGAGATCCAATCTGAAACTCGACGCGAGCTCCAGCTGCAAGCATCCCACGACAACTGGACCGCCAGAATCCGAGACGGACCCGTCAAACAGCGCAGGCAAACCCGAGTTCTGGCGTACTCGAATCTTACCTTTCCCCGATGGGAGGCTGAGGTGGCCCTGCACTGGTTCTGGCGAGCAGGAAAGGGGGAGAAAGGTCTCCTCGTCGCAAAGGCTGGACGCGGTTCGAACAACTTGTCAGTTTCGACACCTGAAGGGTTTGGGGTCAGACTTTGTGCGAAGTTAGACCGTGCGGTGACCTCGAATTCTCCAGAGACCTCGCCTCGCGGTCCATCACCGCACGGTTCTTGGACCTCGGAGGCCCTGGTCGCCCGATGCCTCCTCGGAGAACGGCCCGAATCCCAAAACCGTGCGGCCACTCCGCATCCCCACTGCCTCACCGCACAGTGTGACCATCGCATCGTTTTGGGGCCCCCGAGGTGGGGAGAGTGGGAGCAGAAGGGGGAGGGGTCAGGGGAAGGGAGGCAACTCCTCGGAAGCCTAACTGGGTTGAAACGGATCAGGGCCAGGATTACACGGGGCTCAACCAGACGAAGTGAGAACGTTGCAGACCAGGACGGTTGCCGACCGAAGATCTACCAGCGTCAGCTCTGAATGCAACCCCCCAAGAGTTGCAGCCGAGGGGGTGGGGGGAGAAATTGGCAAACGAGAGGTGAGGACGAGGACGCGGGGGAGAAAGAGCTGGGGAGGGGGGCTTGCGAGCGTGCGCGCGCCCGCGAGGCGAGGAGTGTCAGGAGGGGGGGGGGGGAACTGAAAAAGCCTGCATTGGGGAGAGAGGGCGGGGGAGCGAGGAGAGGAGGGGGTGGGGAGAGGGGGGATACGGGGCTGAAGAGCGAGGCGAGGGGGCGCGACGGGTGTTTCGGCCGCCCAGGCTTCCCCTGCGGTGTACGCCGCGGCGCCCTTCTCGGTCGACACAACGCGCTGGACGCCGCGGGGCGTGCCGGGGAAGTTCGGCGAGCCACTCCGAGCCGCTCCGTCGGCAAGCCGCGGGAGCCGCTCCGACTTCTTGGACGCCACGGATGGGCCCATCTCCAGCCCGCTGTCCACAAAGCCCTGGCGGGTGTGGCCTCCTTCACCCCGCTCTCCGCCTCCTCCTCGCCCTATCCCTGCCACTTCCTCCCGCTCATCCTCTGACTCCCTCCTCCCCCCCCTCGTCCTCCTGGCCGTCTCCGGCTGGGGCTCAAGAAGGTCAGTGCGAGTGGGCCCCAACGTGCACTGATGGCACTTCGAAGCCGCACCCCAGTGAGGGCAGGGCGAAGCTACACGCCGACGAGACGAGCAGTCCCTGCGTGGCGCAGCGAGGGTACCCCGCTACGCCAGAGTGCCCAGCGCAGCCAGGGACTCGGCCCTGGAGGCCCCGCGAAAAGGGCATAGAATTAGGTCGGGCGTCCTTGTTTTGAAGAGACGGTCCCCGATTTACTCTCCTCCTCCTCCTCCTCCTCCTCCTCCTCCTCCTCCTCCTTCCTCCTCCCATCACCACACCTCATTTTGGCACACACCTTACACGTTTCGTGGCCCCACAAGGAGCTCCACCGAAGGCCCCAGTGCCACCGCCCGCATGTGTCACGCACACCCACTTCGGCACACCCCTCACACGTCTCGTGGTCCCATAGGGAGCTCCACCGCATGCCTCAGTGCCACCGCCTGCATGCGTCACGCACACCCATTTCAGCATACCCCTCACACGTTTCGTGGCCCCATAGGGAGCTCTACAGAAGGCCCCAGTGCCACCGCCCGCATTCGTCACGCACACCCATTTCGGCACAACCCCCACACGTTTCGTGGCCCCATAGGGAGCTCCACCGAAGGCCCCAGTGCCACCGCCCGCATGTCACGCACACCCATTTCGGCACACCCCTCACACTTTTCGTGGCCCCATAGGGAGCTCCACCGAAGGCCTCAGTGCCACCGCCCGCATGTCACGCAAACCCATTTCGGCACACCTCTCACACGTTTCGTGGCCCCACGGGGAGCTCCACCGAAGGCTCCAGTGCCACCGCCCGCATTTGTCACGCACACCCATTTCGGCACACCCCCCACACGTTTCGTGGCCCCATAGGGAGCTGCACCGAAGGCCCCAGTGCCACCGCCCGCATTCGTCACGCACACCCATGTCGGCACACCCATCACACGTTTCGTGGCCCCATAGGGAGCTCTACAGAAGGCCCCAGTGCCACCGCCCGCATTCGTCACGCACACCCATTTCGGCACAACCCCCACACGTTTCGTGGCCCCATAGGGAGCTCCACCGAAGGCCCTAGTGCCACCGCCCGCATGTCACGCACACCAATTTCGGCACACCCCTCACACTTTTCGTGGCCCCACATGGAGCCCCACCGAAGGCCCCAGTGCCACCGCCCGCATGCGTCACGCATACCCATGTCGGCACACCCATCACACGTTTCGCGGCCCCAGAGGGAGCTCCACCGACGGCCCCAATGGTTGCGTTCGCATGCGCTCACCGCACCTATTTCGGTACAACTCTCCCGCGCTTCGTGGCAACACAGGGAATTCCACCGACGGCCCCAGTGGCTACTTTCGCATGCGTCCACCGGGCAAATGTTTGCACACCCCTCACACGTTTCGTGGCCCTATAGGGAGCTCCTCCGAACGCGGTGCATACAACGACGGTACTCGCAACTGCACATGGTTGGGTCCTTCGCCAGGCTAATGTTTTGGGGTGTGGCGCGTGATTTCTATTAAACGTCAGCTCTACAGGCGATGTGCTTGTGTGAGGAATACGTTATTGCCAACCACCAGAGGGGCTCCAACATGGCACCCAGGAAACCCTAAGTCAACTGCACCGTGCAACCTCGATGCGAGGATCTCTGGGAGCCCACAAGGGGCCCCGTGAAGGCCCGAGCCAGAGGCCCAAGAGAGCCAGGCGGGCTCCAAGATAGCCCCCTGTGGAGCCCAGAACCAAGTTGCACTGTGCACCTTGCCTTAAGTCGGGCGTGTCCCCCTACAGGCTGCAGGGGGATTTTCGACGAACAATAAAACATTATCAAAACAGATTCCAAAATTGCCAAAAATAACAAAAATAGTCCCCGGTAGAGGGACAGGCCCGACTTAACCCTACGAGTGCCACGAGTGCCACGAGCAGAGCCCCGACGAAGGCCCGAATCGCGCTGCGCCGTGCGGATATTTGCTTGGGGGGCCGCGAGGGGTCCTCAGCGGCGCCCCGAGGAAAGCCTCAGAGAAGGCCCCGCGAGGGTTTCAGGTGGGTTCCAGGATGGCCCACACAGACCGAAACCAACACGGTGCACCGTGAGCCTCGGCCTGGGGCCCTGTGGGGACTCACCAGGGGGCCCCTCCTGCTGGGCCGGGACTGCCCGCCCCCGTGGCGACGGCGGTGCGCGTTGACTCCGTGCTCCTGGTCGGCCCTCCTCCTCATCCTCTTCTTCCTGGTCGTCGCATCGCATCCTCCCCGCGTTACATAACTACTCCTCTCCCTGCCCTCCCCCCCAACGCACTCCAGATCCCCCGGCCAATTCCCTCGCTCCTCGCGTCGCCCGATTCCCCCGACCTCCCCTCGCCACCCCCGATCATCGTTTCCCTTCTCCTCCCCCTCCCTCTTTGGATGGGGCCCGATAACAATGAGGAGCGCCCTCGCACTCACGCAGGCGGCCTGTGGCCGAGCTCCGACTGAACGCTGGCTACTTCCACCCGCCCCACCCCCGCGCGCGACGGGGGGCAATGGGGTAACGGTGGGCGGAACGGCGGCGGGGGCGAGAGCGCGGCGGGGGCAGCGAGCGTTGCCGCAGACGCCGTTGAGACTACCCCCTGGTCGAGGCTGCGGGGGGCGGGGACAAAGGGAAAGCCCTCCCGAGGAGGCGAACGGGGCGAGCAGACTGGGAGAACAAAGGAAACACAACCAACAATCCCACCAGCCCTCTGGGCGTAGGTGGTCTAGGCAGGCTCCTCTTCCAACCCCCTTCTTCTCCTTCGGGGATGGATTGAATGTAGACCCCCTCCCCCAGGCGACCGGCAGACAACCTGCAACAATGAGTACACCAGGAGGCCCCCCCCCCCCCCCACCATCCCCTGTCAAAAGACAATACAATACCCACTCTGCCTCCAAATTCGGAGCATGCGCGGCCAACCCGATGCGCCCCCCCCCCCCCCACCCCCACCCCCCACTCCATCCATGTCAAAAACCATTCAAAATACGCTTTGGGGCAAAGTCTGGAATCATGTTCGAGGGCCCCGCGAGCACTTTGTATTGTTTTTTGTTGCCAGGGACGGCGGGGGTGTCAGCATATCGCCTGCTGCGCGCAAGGCTAACATCCCTGACAGAAAAATGCAAAATGCACCTCGCGGCTAAATCTGGATCATGCGCGGCCGCCCCGCGATCACTGTCAAGTGGTGGCGCGTGACCTGCTGTGCGCAGGCCCACCAGACACAATGATGAGCATTGGTTTCGACATGGATGGTGGGGGCGGACATGTTTCCCGATCTGTGCTGTCACGTGCGCAGGCGCACCTGACGCACTCTGCACGTGCCCCGAACATGGCGCACCTGGCGCGGCTGGAGTGTGCGGCACACCTGGCGTACGCGGAGCACGTGGCGCATCTGGCGCACCAGGCGTGCCTGGCACGCTCGGGCCCAAGGGGTGCCTGGCACGCGTGGCGCCCCTGGCACGCGTTGCGCACCTCGCCCAAGCGTCGCGCACCTGGGGTCGGCTTTGGTTCCCAGCACATCCAAAGACGACCGCTGAACATGCTCATGCTCAGGTGTTACTTATGTGTTGGGAGGGCGGGTGGGAGTGAGCTAGAGGGCTTACAGGCGGATGGGTCGCTTGACCCCTCCCCCTACCCCCTCCCCTGGACCTGGAGGGAGGGGGGTCGCAAGCGGTCAGAGCAGCTAAGATGGCCCAAGACGGCTCTAGGAGGGCCTCAGAGAGCCAAAGATGACCTCCAAGATGGCACGCGATAGCCCAAGATGCCTCAAGATGGCTCCCAAGATGCTCCAAGAGGCCCCAAGACCGTTTCGAGACGGTTCCAAGTGACCACGGAGCGTTCCCCGTTCTCCTCTCCACCTCGTCCTCTCCCATCTCCTCTTCCCTCTCACCAGCCACATGTCTTTGTCATGCTGCCGTTGCTCCAGCTAGTGACGTTGCTGCCCCTCCTCGTCTTCTGACCCCCAACAACCCCCTCTTGTTCTCCCCGTCCTCTCCTCCTTCGCCTCACTACTCTGGTCCGCATCCCAATCCACGTCCCCCTTGCTAAGGTTGACCACCGTCAAAATACATTACCATCGCCTTCGTCGCTCCCATCCGGCTGCGCATCACTGCGCCGCAACGCCTTCCCCCGAGTTAGTGAAGCACGACGTCCTCATGAGATTGAGATCGAACCTCTTCCCTTCGCGACGCCCGCGACGCCGTCGCAGGCGTCGCGGCGAGCCGTCGACGGAGGGCGGCCCGCGGCCCGTCGACGGCTGGCCCCGTCGGCTGGCGCCCCGCAGCTGCCGAAGCCGCGCCGGGGGTCCTGTGCCTGAACGCGGGGGTCGACCAGGCCTGCGGGCCCATCCAGAGGCGCTCGGGGAGCGCTTCCTCCAGGCACGCCTTTGGCACACCTGCACCTCCCTCCTCCCTCCTCCCTCACTCCCTTCCCCGTTCCTCCTCTCTCCCTCCCTCCCTCCTCCCTCCCCGCCCCTCCCTCCCCCAATGCTGTCGATAGTCCTCCTCCCGCCTTGTGGACCCTCTGCGTCGCTACCTGGATCCCGTCACCGATCAGAGACGGGCAATCCGTATTCCACCTCCTTCTTCTCCTGCTCCTCCTCGTCATTATGCTTCTCGTCCTCCTCGTCCGCGTCTTCTGTGTCATCCTCTTCCTCCTCTGTATCCTTCTCTTCCTCGGGCTCCTCCCCTTGCCCCATTCCCCAGCCCGGCTCTTCCTCCTTTCCTCCTCCTCCTCCTTCTTCTCCTCCTCCCTCCTCCTCCTCCCCCTCGTAGTCGTCATCGTCTTCCTCGTCCGCAGGTTTGTCTTTGCCATCGTCGTCCTTATACCTTCTCCCCCTCCACATCCTCCCATCACCTCCCACTTCCACATTCC